TTGGTAATGGTGGGTGGTGGTGTAAGATGATTGTAAATATTGTGTATATTTAGATATATATATTAAGAGAAAAAATAAGGGGGTAAGTATGAATGGATGAATGGATGTTTCAGGAATAATTGTTGGTAAGTTTTTGGTTGGGTGGCTTGCGGTGTTTTGGTGGGAAGGTGGTGGGGTTTGCTGTGTTATTTTTGTTTGCTGTGATTAATATATAAAATTTTATTGAAAAAGACCATGAGGATGTTATTTGAGAGATTCCTTGAATGTCATCTGGAGGAAATGCTCTGTGACTGAATGGTTTAATAAAAAAAAAAAAAAAATCTGAAACCGTTTAATATCTGATACGTCCCCTATCTGGGGACCATATATTAAATGGATTTTTGGGACAGGGAGATGGAAGAAGAGCTTGCTCTGTCCACTCCACGCATTGACCTGGTATTGCAGTACCCCCAGGACCGGTGCACCTCTCTTATGCTGGTTACAAAAATAGAATTGAAAAAGAAAAAGCAAGCCTCTGGACTCTCACTTGGTGGGTGGCAAAGAAATGCAGGAAACCTGCAAACGGAGGCAAACGCGTTCTCCTTTCCTGCTTTCTTTCTCTGCCGTAAGTGCGATCTCTGCCTCCCCCTGTCTGCGGCATGCCTGAATGAAGCCCGGACCGACCGACCGAGCGACCAAAAGCAGTCCTTGCAATTATGGACACTTGTAGCAATGTTTGGTAACTGTTATTTCATTTGGATAGCTTGTCCGATTTGTTATTATCTATCATGTGCTGTGTGTGCAACATTCAAGTCTGTTCACCTGATGCAATGTATCCATTGTTGTCCTGTAAATCTGTGTAATCACTTCATTGAATAAATAAATGTGCCAAGTATATCCATTGGGAAGCCAGAGTATTTCTATGCTGGCTGGCTGGCTGGCTGGCTGGCTGGCTGGCTGGCTGCATTATCAGTGTTGAAAAGTGGGCGGTATTATGCAAATCTGCTGCAGCCTGCAGCATGCTGGTCTTTGAAATTACAGCACTAATGGTTTGGAGGGAAATCGGAGCAGCATCCAAGTAACCAATTAAGGGTTTAATTAATTGAATCATTGAGTGAGTGAGCAAACCAGCAGGTGCTTAATTGCTTGCTCTATCTACCCTACTTGCAGCTGAAGAGGAACAGACCAGGTGATCCAGCAGCCTCGCTAGGCTCATCAGTGGTAGCAGCTGGAGAGGGAGAGGTGCAAGGTATGTCTGGAGGGGAGCATATAGAGGAATGGACAAGGTTAAGAAGGGGAGCTGTGTTTCCAGGGCTCAGAGGTTGTGTGCTCTGAGACTGACTGTGTCTCTGTTGCTATTTGTAGCCAGCTTACACCTAGATGAGAAGAGGTGGGTGGCATCTGTGCCCAAGGCTCACCGCTAGTTTAAAGAAGCCCAGAAGGAATTTGCAGGTAGTAGCTGGGCCTATCTCGTTATCATTTCCTGGCCTTACAGATCAAGTGTAGTATCTGTTCTTATCAGTTTAATATCTGATACGTCCCCTATCTGTGGACCATATATTAAATGGATTTTTGGGACAGGGAGATGGAAGAAGAGCTTGCTCTGTCCACTCCACGCATTGACCTGGTATTGCAGTACCTCCAGGACCGGTGCACCTCTCTTATGCTGGTTACAAAAATAGAATTGAAAAAGAAAAAGCAAGCCTCTGGACTCTCACTTGGTGGGTGGTAAAGAAATGCAGGAAACCTGCAAACGAAGGCAAACGCGTTCTCCTTTCCTGCTTTCTTTCTCTGCCGTAAGTGCGATCTCTGCCTCCCCCTGTCTGCGGCATGCCTGAATGAAGCCCGAACCGACCGACCGAGCGACCAAAAGCATTCCTTGCAATTATGGACACTTGTAGCAATGTTTGGTAACTGTTATTTCATTTGGATAGCTTGTCCGATTTGTTATTATCTATCATGTGCTGTGTGTGCAATATTCAAGTCTGTTCACCTGATGCAATGTATTCATTGTTGTCCTGTAAATCTGTGTAATCACTTCATTGAATAAATAAATGTGCCAAGTATATCCATTGGGAAGCCAGAGTATTTCTAGGCTGGCTGGCGGGCTGGCTGGCTGGCTGGCTGGCTGGCTGGCTGGCTGGCTGGCTGGCTGCATTATCAGTGTTGAAAAGTGGGCGGTATTATACAAATCTGCTGCAGCCTGCAGCATGCTGGTCTTTGAAATTACAGCACTAATGTTTTGGAGGGAAATCGGAGCAGCATCCAAGTAACCAATTAAGGGTTTAGTGGTGAATCATTGGTGAGTAGGCAAACCAGCAGGTGCTTAATTGCTTGCTCTATCTACCCTACTTGCAGCTGGCGAAGGCAGGCCAATTGTGATCAGCAGCCTCGTTAGGCTCATCAGTGGTAGCAGCTGGAGAGGGAGAGGAGTGCAAGGTATGTCTGGAGGGAGCATATATAGAGGAATGGACAAGGTTAGAAGAGGGAGCTGTGTTTCCAGGGCTCAGAGGTTGTGTGCTCTGTGACTGACTGTGTCTCTGTGGTACTGTTGCCCAGCCAGCTTACACCTAGATAGGGAAGAGGTGGGTGGCACTGTGCCCAAAGGCTCACCGCAAGCTGAAGAAGCCAGGCGGTGCTTGGGTGAGTAGCTGAAGCCCATTCGGTTATCGCTTCTGACCTTTTGGCTAAGATCAAGTGTAGTATCTGTTCTTATCAGTTTAATATCTGATACGTCCCCTATCTGGGACCATATATTAAATGGATTTTTGGGACAGGGAGATGGAAGAAGAGCTTGCTCTGTCCACTCCACGCATTGACCTGGTATTGCAGTACCTCCAGGACCGGTGCACCTCTCTTATGCTGGTTACAAAAATAGAATTGAAAAAGAAAAAGCAAGCCTCTGGACTCACACTTGGTGGGTGGCAAAGAAATGCAGGAAACCTGCAAACGAAGGCAAACGCGTTCTCCTTTCCTGCTTTCTTTCTCTGCCGTAAGTGCGATCTCTGCCTCCCCCTGTCTGCGCATGCCTGAATGAAGCCCGGACCGAGCGACCAAAAGCATTCCTTGCAATTATGGACACTTGTAGCAATGTTTGGTAACTGTTATTTCATTTGGATAGCTTGTCCGATTTGTTATTATCTATCATGTGCTGTGTGTGCAACATTCAATTCTATTCACCTGATGCAATGTATTCATTGTTGTCCTGTAAATCTGTGTAATCACTTCATTGAATAAATAAATGTGCCAAGTATATCCATTGGGAAGCCAGAGTATTTCTATGCTGGCTGGCTGGCTGGCTGGCTAGCTGGCTGGCTGGCTGGCTGGCTGCATTATCAGTGTTGAAAAGTGGGCGGTATTATGCAAATCTGCTGCAGCCTGCAGCATGCTGGTCTTTGAAATTACAGCACTAATGTTTTGGAGGGAAATCGGAGCAGCATCCAAGTAACCAATTAAGGGTTTAATTAATTAGATGTTAGGTGAGTGAGCAAACCAGCAGGTGCTTAATTGCTTGCTCTATCTACCCTACTTGCAGCTGAAGAGGAACAGACCAGGTGATCCAGCAGCCTCGTTAGGCTCATCAGTGGTAGCAGCACAGAGGAGAGGTGCAAGGTATGTCTGGAGGGGAGCATATAGAGGAATGGACAAAGGTTAAGAAGAACTGTGTTTCCAGAGCTCCAAGTGTGTGCTCTGTGACTGGCTGTGTCTCTGTTGCTAGCCAACACACAGATGAGGAAGAGGTGGGTGGCACTGTGCCCAAGGCTCACCGCAAGCTGAAGAAGCCCAGGCGAATGGCAGGTGAGTAGCTGGGCGCCCATTCCGGTTATCGCTTCTCGGCCTTTTAGCTAAGATCAAGTGTAGTATCTGTTCTTATCAGTTTAATATCTGATACGTCCCCTATCTGGGGACCATATATTAAATGGATTTTTGGGACAGGGAGATGGAAGAAGAGTTTGCTCTGTCCACTCCACGCATTGACCTGGTATTGCAGTACCTCCAGGACCGGTGCACCTCTCTTATGCTGGTTACAAAAATAGAATTGAAAAAGAAAAAACAAGCCTCTGGACTCTCACTTGGTGGGTGGCAAAGAAATGCAGGAAACCTGCAAACGAAGGCAAACGCGGCAAACGCGTTCTCCTTTCCTGCTTTCTTTCTCTGCCGTAAGTGCGATCTCTGCCTCCCCCTGTCTGCGGCATGCCTGAATGAAGCTCGGACCGACCGACCGAGCGACCAAAAGCATTCCTTGCAATTATGGACACTTGTAGCAATGTTTGGTAACTGTTATTTCATTTGGATAGCTTGTCCGATTTGTTATTATTATCTATCATGTACAGCAAATATCTAGTCTGTTCACCTTAATGTATTCATTGTTGTCCTGTAAATCTGTGTGCAATCACTCTCCATTGAATAAATAAATGCGCTAAGTATATCCACAGCCAGTATTTCTATGCTGGTTGGCTGGTTGGTTGGCTGGTCATTGGCTGGCTGGCTGGCTGGCTGGCTGGCTGCATTATCAGTGTTGAAAAGTGGGCGGTATTATGCAAATCTGCTGCAGCCTGCAGCATGCTGGTCTTTGAAATTACAGCACCAATGTTTTGGAGGGAAATCGGAGCAGCATCCAAGTAACCAATTAAGGGTTTAATTAATTGAATCATTGAGTGAGTGAGCAAACCAGCAGGTGCTTAATTGTTTGCTCTATCTACCCTACTTGCAGCTGAAGAGGAACAGACCAGGTGATCCAGCAGCCTCGTTAGGCTCATCAGTGGTAGCAGCTGGAGAGGGAGAGGTGCAAGGTATGTCTGGAGGGGAGCATATAGAGGAATGGACAAGGTTAAGAAGGGAAGCTGTGTTTCCAGGGCTCAGAGGTTGTGTGCTCTGTGACTGACTGTGTCTCTGTTGCTATTTGTAGCCAGCTTACACCTAGATGAGGGAAGAGGTGGCGGCACTGTGCCCAAGGCTCACCGCAGCCGAAGAAGCCCAGGCGTAATGGCAGGTGAGTAGCTGGGCGCCTATCTGGTTACATATCGCCGGCCTTTACAAGATCAAGTGTAGTATCTGAAAACCTATCAGTTTATTCGATACGTCCCCATTCCAAATCATATATTAAATGGGATTTTGGGACAGGAGATGGAAGAAGAGCTTGCTCTGTCCACCTTACACGCATTGACCTGGTATTGCAGTACCTCCAGGACCGTGCACCTCTCTTATGCTGGTTACAAAAATAGAATTGAAAAGAAAAGCGGCCTCTGACTCTCACTCCCAGGGTGGCAAAGAATGCAGGAAACTCCGCAAACGAAGGCGCAACGCGCCTTTCCTGCTTTCTCTGCCGCATCTCTGCTCCCCCTGTTCGCGTATTGCCTGAATGAAGCCCGCTGACCTAATCGCACTGAAATGCACTAAAAGCATTCCTTGTAATTATGGACACTTGTAGCAATGTTTGGTAACTGTTATTTCATTTGGATAGCTTGTCCGATTTGTTATTATCTATCATGTGCTGTGTGTGCAACATTCAAGTCTGTTCACCTGATGCAATGTATCCATTGTTGTCCTGTAAATCTGTGTAATCACTTCATTGAATAAATAAATGTGCCAAGTATATCCATTGGGAAGCCAGAGTATTTCTATGCTGGCTGGCTGGTTGGCTGGCTGGCTGGCTGGCTGGCTGGCTGGCTGCATTATCAGTGTTGAAAAGTGGGCGGTATTATGCAAATCTGCTGCAGCCAGCAGCATGCTGGTCTTTGAAATTACAGCACTAATGTTTTGGAGGGAAATCGGAGCAGCATCCAAGTAACCAATTAAGGGTTTAATTAATTGAATCATTGAGTGAGTGAGCAAACCAGCAGGTGCTTAATTGCTTGCTCTATCTACCCTACTTGCAGCCGAAGAGGAACAGACCAGGTGATCCAGCAGCCTCGTTAGGCTCATCAGTGGTAGCAGCTGGAGAGGGAGAGGTGCAAGGTATGTCTGGAGGGGAGCATATAGAGGAATGGACAAGGTTAAGAAGGGGGGCTGTGTTTCCAGGGCTGTGAGGTTGTGCGCTCTGTGGACTGACTCGTGTCTCTTGCTGCTATTTGTAGCCAGCTTGCACCTGTAGATGAGGAAGAGGTGGGTGGCACTGTGCCCGCGTCTTCACCGCAGTTGAAGCAGCTTTCTCCAGGCGAATGGCAGGTGAGTAGCTGGGCGCCCATTCCGGTTATCGCTTCTCGGCCTTTTGGCTAAGATCAAGTGTTGTATCTGTTCTTATCAGTTTAATATCTGATACGTCCCCTATCTGGGGACCATATATTAAATGGATTTTTGGGACAGGGAGATGGAAGAAGAGCTTGCTCTGTCCACTCCAAGCATTGACCTGGTATTGCAGTACCTCCAGGACCGGTGCACCTCTCTTATGCTGGTTACAAAAATAGAATTGAAAAAGAAAAAGCAAGCCTCTGGACTCTCACTTGGTGGGTGGTAAAGAAATGCAGGAAACCTGCAAACGAAGGCAAACGCGTTCTCCTTTCCTGCTTTCTTTCTCTGCCGTAAGTGCGATCTCTGCCTCCCCCTGTCTGCGGCATGCCTGAATGAAGCCCGGACCGACCGACCGAGCGACCAAAAGCATTCCTTGCAATTATGGACACTTGTAGCAATGTTTGGTAACTGTTATTTCATTTGGATAGTTTGTCCGATTTTGTTATTATCTATCATGTGCTGTGTGTGCAACATTCAAGTCTGTTCACCTGATGCAATGTATTCATTGTTGTCCCAGAATCTGTGTAATCACTTCATTGAATAAATAAATGTGCCAAGTATATCCATTGGGAAGCCAGAGTATTTCTATGCTGGCTGGCTGGCTGGCTGGCTGGCTGCATTATCAGTGCCGGAAAAAGTGTATGGCTATGCAAATCTGCTGCAGCCTGCAGCATGCTGGTCTTTGAAATTACAGCACTACTGTTTTGAGGGAAATCGAGCAGCATCCAAGTAACCAATTAAGGGTTTAATTAATTGAAATCATTGAGTGAGTGAGCAACCAGCAGGTGCTTAATTGCTTGCTCTATCTACCCTACTTGCAGCTGAAGAGGAACAGACCAGGTGATCCAGCAGTCTCGTCAGGCTCATCAGTGGTAGCAGCTGGAGAGAGAGAGAGGTGCAAGGTATGTCTGGAGGGGAGCATATAGAGGAATGGACAAGGTTAAGAAGGGGAGCTGTGTTTCCAGGGCTCAGAGGTTGTGTGCTCTGTGACTGACTGTGTCTCTGTTGCTATTTGTAGCCAGCTTACACCTAGATGAGGGAGAGGTGGGTGGCACTGTGCCCAAGGCTCACCGCAAGCTGAAGAAGCCCAGGCG